GCTATTATTTAATTTAAACGCCTTGATTATTATTTATTTAACAAGTCATACCCCCGCGCGTGCGCGCACTCGTCCTCAGCTCTCTTCCAGTCGCTGCTGTTCGAGGCCTCCGGGAGAACCGTGAACCCCGTGAGCGGCGCCGTGGGGCTCCTCTGTGCCAGAAACTGGCGCGTCTGCCAGGCGGCGGAAAGCTGAAGCCGATACCGGATCTCGTCGGCAGCCCATCGCCGGACGTGGACGACGCCTCCGACTGCACGGGGCTATTCCGGCCTCGGGATTCCACCTCGCCGCATCACAAGCAGCGCCACACAGTAGACCCGCCAGCCGGGGCTACCGTTCTCGATCTCAGCCTGACACCTGGATTTTCAAGAAAGAAGAACAGGGGCCCTGATTCAGACGACGACGCACGGCGGCTCTTGAGCCCCTCGATGAATTTCGAGGAGTCTCTAACGACGACGTGCGGTGATCTGCCAGCTGGGGAGATCAAGTTGTTGAACCTGTTTGGTTGAATTTATTTATGTTCTCGGGCTTGAATGAGTTTTTTCAGCTATTCATTTTGCTTCTCTTTTGAAAGATATTTTATTTTGTCATTAGTTCTCCAGTTCGAACAAGCACCTGGAACCACAGAAATAAAGGGAAGATCTTTATTTATTTTATTTCCTTAATTGAATTTATTTCATATTCCATATATAAGATATTATGGATTTTATTATGGTATTTTAGCTTGTAGGAAATCAGACGTGAAAGAGATAAAGAAGAGAAGAGGCGTGCATGTTAAGGAAATCAAGGAGAGAGAGTAGAAGATTCACTTACCTAAGATAAGCTAAACTATGGAAGGAAATCAAGATTGGAGTCCTATGCCTTGTAGAAGACTCCAACCCTAAGGAGTTCATATAAATACCCTAGTGCAAGCTCTTATTGCGGCTGCTGAAGTGAGAGAGATTTTAGAGCAATATTTGAGCTTCGTATTTTCTATTTAATTTCAGTTGTACACAGTTCAGTCTTGAGAGTTCTTACACACTCAAGGACTGAAGCTGGTTTTTGTGTAGTTTTTTTTTTTTCATCCAAAACTATTTTACAGTTTATACACTTAGGGAGTAAGTGTAGATTATTAAAGTCCACGGGACGTGGCCGGAGAAATAGTTGATATGATCTGGGTAGTGTTGGCTGGGCTTGAAGGGAGTTCGAGTCTTTGTAAGTCCAAGCTATGTTCGTATTTGATCTATCAATGAAAGAGCTCTGAGGGGAAGTGGGATATTTCCCTGAAGAGTTTTTATATCTTCGGTTTATTGCTTCCGCATTCTTCCTAATTTTGTTCGTACATCAAATAGCGCACTCTGTAATAATTATACGTTTCAATTGGCACCAGAGCAGTGTTTCTGTTCTAACTACAGGATAAAGATCTTTGGGACTGTGTATCGGGCACCATGAGTCATGATGGGATGTCTGTTACGCGCCCTCCATTTCTTGATGGTTCCAACTACTCATACTGAAAATCCATGATGGTGATCTTCCTTCGATCTCTTGGTAAAGGCACATGGCAGGCTGTTGAGAATGGTTAGACTTTACCCCTCCAAGAAAAAGTTCCTGCTGAAACTAAGGGTGGTGAGT